TTCTGGTGTTTAAGGCTCATCCGCTCCTGGGGGGAAAGAGAGAGAAACATCACACAGAGCTCCCCAAGCAGCAGGGCCCTCTTGAGGAATGGGGCTGAGGTACCAAGGCAGCACCTGCATCCTGAGCTGCTCCAGCTCCTCCAGCCGTGCCAAGGCGGCCTCAGGGTCCGACTTGTGCAGCTGCTCAAACTCCTTCAGGGCCTGGCGCCTCCTGCTCTTCTTCAGCACGCGATGGTACCTGCGGCATGAGGGCGGGTCAGGGCTCAGGGTCTGGGGGGCCTCCAGTCCTCCCCAGTGCCCTGAGCCCAGCACAGGCACAGCCTCACTTCTTGCTCTTGATCCTCTTCTCTCGCCGAGCCTTGGCCTCGTAGTAGGACTGCACAGCCCGGGCCTTCTGCAGCTCTGCCCGCCGCCGCCGGGCCTGACGGGGAACACGGGGTGAGGGATGGGGAACACGGGGTGAGGGATGGGGTGAGGGATGAGGGGAACATGGGATGAGGGATGGGGAACACGGGGTGAGGGATGGGGAGCACGGGGTGAGGGATAGGGAGCACGGGGTGAGGGATGGGGAGCACGGGGTGAGGGATGGGGAGCACGGGGTGAGGGATGCGGAGCACGGGGTGAGGGATGGGGAACATGGGGTCAGGGATGGGGAACACGGGGTCAGGGATGGGGAGCATGGGGTGAGGGATGGGGTGAGGGATGGGGTGAGGGATGGGGTGAGGGATGGGGTGAGGGATGGGGAACACGGGGTGAGGGATAGGGAACATGGGATGAGGGATGGGGTGAGGGATGGGGAACACGGGGTGAGGGATGGGGAACACAGGGTGAGGGATGGGGAACATGGGGTGAGGGATGGGGAACACAGGGTGAGGGATGGGGAACACGGGGTGAGGGATGAAGGGCATGGGTTGAGGGATGGGGAACATGGGTTGAGGGATGGGGAGCACAGCATGAGGGCCCTCAGAGCCAGGGCCTGGCAGGGGGAAGCCCTCACCTCCTCCAAGCTCATGGCCTTCAGCGAGGCTGTCTCCTCCGGTGTCAGCAGCGGGTCTGTGATGGGCTGCTGTGTCTTGTGGAGCAATCCAAAGATCTCCTGCTCCAGTGGAGTCCGGGCCTGTTGGGACAGAAGACACAGCAGGAGGATGAGGAGAACTGCAAGGGCCAGTGCTTCTCTGGATGTCCCCAACCCTTCCCACTGCCACCGAGCGAGTCTGTGGGAAGGCCCAGAGAAGTGTCCCCTCCTCAAGGGACTGGTGGCCCCGCTCATGGGGCTCACGAGCCTTGGGCATCCTCCCAGCCACATCAGCAGGTGAGGGCAGGTGCAATTCCTCCCATGTTAAGAGAAATGGCCTCTCAGTCGATGGGCAGTGCTGACTGGGGCACGGACAAGGAGCACGGAGCAGGGGTTCCAGGCCACCCAATGTCACATCCCTCCAAAACGCAAAGGGACCTTTGGGCAGATCAAGGTGAGCCACAGAAATGTTGGGAGCTCAGCAGGGGCTGCCCCTCAGCTGGGCATCCAACAGCTGCCAGTTACAACCCCATGGGAACTGATATTCAAAACCAAACATATCATTCTTTTGTAAGGAATGTTTCCAAGCGCACAGAATTTGGCAAACCAATTCCCTCTGCCTCAGCATTGGTGGCTGAGGGACACCCCCAGGTGTCTGGCCCAGCTCAGGGATGGAAACACTGCAGGGGCTGACATGCTACAAGAAGGAGAGGGGACAAAGCAAGCTCCAAACCCTCTCCTGGCTTCTCCCAGATGGAATTTACATACCTGCTATGTGTGAGGAACAGACTGCCCTTTCAACCCTCCCAAGCTCAGCAGGCACCTGCCCAGTGCCTCAGCCACAGGCTGGGCCTTCCTCACCTCCATCACCTCTGTCACTACTCCCAACACAGCCAGGAGACATCGAGCTGCCTCAGTCGAGCCTGAAGCCGCCCCAGTCAAACCCTTGGAGCTGCCCCAGCCAAACTCCTAGAGTTGCCCTGTGGTCAAACCCCTGACACCGACACGCCCAGGGCGTGAGACCCCCAGCCCCCACCTTCCAGGCCGACGTCACCCTCTCCAGAGGCGTCACCGTGGGGATGTCCTGCCGCAGGGGGAACACCAGCTGCTCCGCACGCCGGTTCTGAACGACCACCTGCTGCCACTTCCCTACATCCTTCGAGGTGGTGACGTAGGCAGCCTCCCTCACCACCTGGAGGGGGACAGGAGGGGCAGAGAAAGGCGATGCCAGCGTCAGGGAGGGGCAAGGGGCAGCGGAGTCTCAGCTCAGAGTCCCCCTCTGCTCCCTGCACTCACCCTCTTAGCCTCCTCCTTGCTCAGCGGCAGCTCCACCGCCGCCTTCCGCTTCACCCTGGCCAGCTCCTTCCTCACGCTGCCCAGGGCGGATTTGGGGCGGATGGGCTTCAGCAGCTCCGACAGAACCAGCTTCTCACCAGTACCTACACGGAGGCGCCTCGTGAGGGGCTGCAGCTGCCCCAGCACGCCCCCCGGGGTGGCTCGGGATGGGCAGCGCTGTCCCTGTCCCTCGAGCCATGCCCAGCGCTTGGACCTCACCTTTGCAGGTGACATTGAACTCGGACACCTGCCCGCCCGCCTCGGAGCGCTCCGCCAGCTTCCGCCTGAGGGAGAGGGACAGAAAATAACCCCAAGGGCTCCTCGTGTTCCCCCGGGTGCTCCGGAGGGTCTGCGGCCGGTGCCGGCGGGCAGGGGCCGAGACCCGCCCCAGCTGCCCTTTTTCCCGTGCAGCCTCACGGGTAGAGGGTAGGAAACGCAGCGTGGCTGCTGCAGGAGCCCCGGGACCCCCCACTCACCGTTTCCGACCGGACAGGGCGCTGATCGCCTCCAGGAGCCGCCGGTGCCGCCGCTCTCCATCCTCCTGCCAGGCAGCACACGTGCTCACAGGCCCGGCCCGGCGGAGCGCGGCCGCGGGGATGGCCCCAGCGCCCGCTCCCCGCTGCCCCCCGTTATCCCTCGGTGCCCCCCGGACCCGCCTGGCCGAGCCCCGGGCCCGGCATCCCGGCCAGGCCACGCTACCCTCCGCTGCGCCCGCCACGGCCGGGGGAACGCCCGGAGAGCCGCAGGCAGCGGCTGAGGCCGCCGCGGGAGGCCGCCCCCACCCCGCTCACCCCGTCCTCGCTCTCGCTGCCGCTCTCGGCCGCCGCCGCCACCGGGTCCTGCGGATCCTCCAGGTCCTGCTGCTCCGCCATGGCTCCCGCACGCCGGCACTGCCGCAAAGCGCCGCCGCGCGTCGCGCCGGGCCTGCGCGCCCCGCCGCAAAGCGCGCCCGCGGCACGTCACGGTTGCCATGGGAGCGGGCCCGGCGGGAGGGGCGGGGGGACCGGAGGGTCCCGGAGGGGGGATCCGGGCACACAGACCCCCGGCCTGGCCTCGGACGGACCCTCCGAGGGCTCCGGGCCAGCTCTGACCCCTCCTCGGGACGTCCCCGGATCGCCGGTGCCAGCCGCGGGCTCCGGGGCTCTCCGCTCCATCCGTGACCCCCGTGGGTCCCCCCTCCCAGCCCCAGGGATTCCGGGATTCGCTCTTTTCCCCCCAGGAGGTGCCCCAGGGCCGCGGCCTCGGGGACGGGGCTCCCGCACCTACGGCTCCTCCCACCCGCCCGACCCCGACTCCCGGGGGCGTTTTTGGGATTGATGGGATGTGAGGGGTCGTGGGAGCAAATGGACGGAGTTCTGAGGCATGGAGGGGGGGTCTTGTGTCAGTGCTCAGCCACCGCCGGGGTCACCTGCGCCCGCAGCATCCCTGCTCCTCCTCCTTCTCCTCCTCTTCATCCCGAGCTGGGCGCGCAGGGGGGCTCAGGGCAGGGGCTGGCGAAGAGAGAGGGATAACGAGCTGCTCCCCATCTGCTCCCGTCTCCATAGCAACAACCGCGGGGGAAAAAAAAGTTCCTTATATTTCCCCTCGGATTTGAGGCTCCGGGGCCCTGCCGCCGCCGGCTGCCACATGCCCACAGGGAGCACCGTGTGTGGGACACCGGACTGGGACACCGGGGTATCCCCCGCACCAAACCCCAGGGTCGCGGTGTGCAAAGCCAGAAAACAGGAGTGTGGCCCCAAAATGTGGGAGGGGTAGGCGGGGAACTCTCCGTGTGCTCCCCGCGGCAGAACTGGGGCTCGGCAGCCCGGTCCTTGGTGGGCACCCGGTGCGAAAGAACGGAAAAGAAAACCGGGAAGGGCGGAGCGGCGCCGGTCAGGCCCCGCCGGGGGTCTGGCGGGAGCCGGGCCGGGCCAGTGACCCCCCGTGTCCGTCCCGGTCCCGGTCTCGCCGCACCCGGTCCAGGCCCCGCCCCCGACACGTGCCGTGCCGCGCCCCCGCCCCGCCTCCCCTTGTCCGCACCGGGGCGAGGCCAGGGCCGCAGAGTGACAGCTCACCTGACCAATGGGCACGCGGGAAGCTCAGAAGAGGGAGGATCCTCCGCGGAGCGACAGCGCTGACGGCCAATGGACGGGCGGGGCGGGAGGAGCCGCCGTGGAGTGGCAGCAAACGCGGCCAATAGGCGGGCGGGGCGGGGCGCGGGGGCGCGGCGGGGCCAATGGCGGCGGCGGCCGCGCTCCCTTTGGGTTGCGGGGCGTGGCGGCCCCTCCCGGCGCGGAGGGAGCGACCGGCCCGGCCCGACCGGCTCCGGCACCGGGTGAGCGGCGGCGCGGGACCCCCCGCGCCCTCCCGAGCCCTCCCCTTCTGCCCTCTACCCTCTGCGGGACGGGTGCTGCCCTGCCCTGCCCTGCCCTGCTCGGCCGCGCCCCGTCCCCTCCCGCCGCGGGGCCGCCCCGCCGCCCCCTCCCCGCCCAGCCGAGGGTCTCCCCGCAGGGCCGCGCCCCGCGCCCCCTCCCCGGTGGGTTCCCGCGGCGACGCCCCTCCCGGGCGCGGGGTTTCCATGGCGACGGCCGCCGCCCCCCGGCCCGGGGCTGCCGCCGCCGCCTCCCCGGTGCTGACCGAGCGCTCTCCCGGTTCCCTCTCCCGCAGCCGCCAGCGCAGCCCCGCGGGGCCCCGATGATGCCGGGGGCGCGGGCGGCGGAGCAGCAGGAGCAGCAGCAGCAACAGCAGCAGCAGCAGCAGCAGCGCCCGGACGCGCGGCGGCCGCCGCCGCCCCAGTGACGGCCCCGCCATGTCGGTGATGGTGGCGAGGAAGAAGGTGGTTCGGAAATGGGAGAAGCTGCCGGGCAGGAACACCTTCTGCTGCGACGGCCGCATCATGATGGCCCGCCAGAAGGGCATCTTTTACCTGACGCTCTTCCTCATCCTCGGCACCTGCGCCCTCTTCTTTGCCTTCGAGTGAGTTCCCCCGGGGACCCCCGCGGCGCTGGGATGGGACTGGGGACCGGTCCGGGGGCCTCGGGAGAGGGAGGGGAGCCTGGCATGAAGCAGCCTGGCAGAGGGGAGCCTGGCACGGTGCGGCTCTACCTGCCCAGATCTGCCTCCTGGCCCTCAGCAGACTGAGCTTGGAGGTTTTGGGGAGGATGGGCCCTACCAGATCTTCCCTCCGGCTCTGCCCATGGGGTGACACTTCCCTGTGTTCGGACCCTACAGGGTGACACTGGCCCTCTGTCCCCATGGGTCACCCTTTCCTCTGTCTGGGGCTTGGCAGTCCCGAGTGCTCCTGGCCCCGGGATGGCTGGGGTGCAAGGGCACTGCTGCTGCAGCCCCGGGGTCCAGCCTGCGTCCCTGCCCTTGGGGGGACATGCAGCCACCCCTGACAACCCCACCAGGGAGGTGACCCTGCTGGAGGATTAATGAGGAATGAGGTTGGTGGCTCCGAGGCTCCTGACAGTCTGACCTGCCCCCAGTGCTGCACTACAGCAGAGGCCCCACAGCCAGAGCCCTCTCGGTATTTGGGGAGGGTCCAGCCACCCCTTAGATCAGCTCTGCAGCCAAAACCCTGGATCCTGCTGAAGGAGAGGGACCTGCCCCCTCCTTTCAGCAATCCCTGGGAGCTGGGCTGGCCTTAAAGTAATCCTACAATCAAAAAAACAAACAAAAAGGGAAAAGCTTATGTTTGCCCCAGCCGATGCTGTGGGAGGGGACAGGATACCCCTGTCACCTGGTTTGGGGATGAAATTGGATCAGCTAAAGAACTGCAAAACTTCCCTTCCTCAGTCTCCTTGGGCATGTTTGTGTTCTGGGGCAGGAGAAGGGCTGACACAGGATTGGGTAACACAAAAGCTTGTTAAGCCAGGAAAAGCGAGCGGAAGGAGCTGCTCCCTGGCTAAGCCCTGGCTGTCCCTGCACAGCCATAAACCCCTCAGCCCAGATGCTGGCCTCCTCAGCATCTTCCCCAGGCTAGGGAACTTGTCTCCACATCCCCTGGCCTGGCATGGCTCTCCCTAGTTCCCTGCCCAAATTATCTCTGGCTCAGTCTGAATTCTGAGGTACCAAGTGACACCACTCTTGGTTTGTTGTTTGGGGTTTTTTTTTCATCTGAAAAGTGGAGCTGAACCTTCCTGCCTTGCAGGAAGAACTGCTGCTCCAGAAACGCTTTTTGCTGCTCCAGAAACACTGATTTGAGGGATAATTGCTCTGGCTCCCTGTGGGTCCTGTCCGTAGCAGGAGAGTGAACCACATCCCGCTCTGCTGTGGTTGCCCTCACCAGCTGCACCAGGCAGAGTGAGCTAAGGCTGTGTTCCAACCCTAGGCCGTGGTTAGCCTGGAATGTGACTAGAAATTCCTTGAGAAGCCCCTTTCCATGCTCTGGGAAGCAGAGGCCTATGGAGGGGTTGCTTGCACCGAGACATCCAGACTGTGCCTAGAGCCAGAGGGTGGGCTGTGCGGGGGGAGTGCTGCTGGGAGCAGGATCACTTATGAATTTTAGTTAAATCATCTAAGGAAGACAAGGAAAAGTTTGGGAAAACCCCAAATACCATTTGATTCAGCGCATAACATCTCAGTGTTTTCTGTTTGGTAAAGATGGAGTTGTTTTGAACTTATTTGGGGATTTTTGTGTTTGGGAGAGGGATGAGATACTGCCTTCCCATCTGGAAAGACTCCCCGGGGTCTCTTTTGCACCGGCCAGGCTGAGATGAGCAGCTGGGCTCCCTGCCTGCCCTGTGCACCTTCCACGCACCTTAGGGAGCTTTGGGTGAGGGTCTCAACCTTGAGCTTTCACCGTGTTGTGCATTTGTCTCAGCTTCTGGCAGATTCTTTTGCGCTTGCATGCAAATTCCTGGTCTCCCCCATTAAAACTCGTGCTACAGAGGAGCGATCCGGGTGTTAGGGTCTGGATTTGGAGCGTGGCAGTCGGTAGTGGGCGGAGGAGCCCTTCCCCTCCCTGCCCGCTCACTGCAGGGCTGCCCGTGCCGTGGTGCCTTTTCCATTCAGCTGAATCACTTGCGCAGTCACACCTTGTCTGAACACGGCTCCGGAGGTGCCTGGAGCCAGGATCTGTCTGGCTGCTCGCCCTGCGCCGGGCCGGGCTTGATCCCGGCGCTCCGGGCTGTGCTGGCTCCGGTTATAGCCGGCGCTGGTGGGGACTGGCACCCACATCAGGGGAAAAGCCACCGCCGTCCCTCGCTGGCAGGGTGCTCCCCAGCCCTGGAGTGACGGCCGTGCTCTTTGGGCTGCTGCTTCTGGGGGTGGTTTTTTTCCTCCGAGTATCTCCAGTGCCATCGGCTGCTCCGCGGAGTCCGCAGGCGAGCGGGCTGAGCCTCCTCAGCCCTGTGGGTGGGAGTTTCCGTGCTTTGATCCCCCAGTCCGCAGCGCTGTGGTCTGGGATCGCGTAAGTCTCTCCATCCGGGAGCGAACAGGACCCAGAGGCTGGCAGAGCTCGGCGCTGTACCTGAGATCCGGCTCCTCCCTCCTGGATAAGGCAGAGGGACGGAGCCGTGCTGGCTCTGGCTCCGGGAAGGGCTCTGCAGCCACCAGAGTCCTCTGCCCAAGGGCACCTCTCTCACCACCACTTCGTCAGGGAGCAGCTCCCGCTGCTCAGGGCCGGTCCCTGCAGGGTCCAAGACCTGTGTTTAACTAGGTCTGCTCCATAACGTGTCCCATAAAATTCAGTTCCACATCCTCTGGGCATTATTTCAGACTCCTAATGGTACTGTCAGCCCTGTGGCTGGGCACTTAGCTGGTAACTCTGCCCGTGGTGTTCTGGCATGAGAGAAGCCCACGTAAAGCACTTGTGAAATCCCTTTGGGAGCGAGGATGATGGGATGCTGCATCCTCTCTCAGGCTGGGAGTTCCCTTTGCAGTTTGCCAGCCTGTCTCATGGCCTGACGTGAGTTCCTCACACAGCTGACGGGAATGGGATTTCTTTTGCCTCCAGCTTTTCAGCACAGAACTTGATATCTGTAAATGTCAGAGGCTTCTCCAATGCCCAGGTATATTTGTCACTTTGTTTTTCCTACTTTCTTAGCTTTGTAGTGATGAAAATGTGTTTGTCTTCTGATGAGTTGAAAACACCTACACTGCCACTCATGTGACTTTGTTTTTTAGTTTTGATTTCCAAACCCCAGAGACCCAAGACTGACAGAGGAGCCTCTGAGATGGTGTTACCTCTAGATAGATCTCTGACAAGTGTGGTCAAAACTTACACATGAGTTGATCGGTGCTTTTTAATCACTGTAATTTCTTTTGATAGAGGTGAATTTGTTGGTGTCCAGAGTTCAGCTTGTTTCACTCCTGTTTGTATGTGCAGTGGCCACTCCTGGGGTTTCAATTGACCTTCTTCTCATATGTGGGTTCCTTCTCAGGAGATGACTTCAGCCTCCCTGCATGTCCTCTGTGGCACCCCCATTCCCGTGTGGATCTTGGGGTGATCTGCCTGTGTGGAAACTTGATTTTTTAGCCAGGAAAAGAGCAATAACATCAGCATAACCCATCTATGTCCTGCCTCAGCCGGGTCAGAAGCACGTGGTGTGTGCTGGCAGTTGATGTGGGTCTGTAGTGAGGGTTTCTGTGTCACCGCTGGCAGATGGGGAGAGGTTCCATGGAGAGCTCCAGCTCTGCCTGGTGCTGCTGGGAAGGGTCTGGACGCAGCTTTGTGGTCGTGGCACTTATGCGGGCTTCAGAGCAGCCTCTTCTGCGCTTACCACAAGCACAGCAGCTCCTGGACACCATCCCAGAGCTGGGAGGTGCAGATGGCTGAAGTGCCCTGGTGAGGGTCAGGTGTCTGGGAAAGATACAGTTCTGCTGGCACTCGCAGTGGGGTTGTGCCGTAGTTTAGGAAAGTTAAACAGGTTGATTTGCAGGTGAGATGTGAGTGACTGATATCATGAAGCTTGTGCTTCATGCACAGTTGGGGCCTGTGCAGAAGGTGCAGTGCCCGGTGGCTGTGCCTGCAGTCCCTGTCATCTGGGCACGGTGGCTTTCCCCTTCCTTCAGGGCTTTGCTCAATGTGCTGATTACAACAGACCTTCTCAAGCGGGCACAAAATAACCGGCCAAGCACTGTAACTAGTGGCACCTCCCAGCTGCTTCTCCCCCCGCCCCCCCATTCCAATGATCTCTTTGTTAAGGCTTCCTGCCCCCAGCCCACCCCTCCGTGACGATGAATTGTGATAGTGCTGTTATTGTCTGCTTGTCGGTGACAAAACGCTCCAGAGCACAAATATGGTGCTGGGAGTGGGGGAGCAGCATCCTCACATGCCAACAGAGCATCTCTGTTGGCTCTGAGCTCCCCCAAACAAAAGATCTTTAAAATGTCTGTTACTGAGCAGTGAAATCATGCTGGAGATGCGGCGTAGACTGAAGATACCCCAATGCTTGTGAGTACCTGAGTACCAAGTCAAGACTTTGTGTGGTTGCTGTCCCTGCTGTGGGCACGTTCCCTGAAAGTCACTCCAGAAGAGTGAGGCCCCATCAGTGCAGTGGAGAACAGGAGGCACGTGGGGGGCTCCACGTTGGGCTCCATGTTGGGCCTTATGCAGTTTCAGTGTGGTGAGAGCTCCTCTGGCTCTCACACCTCTGCCCTCAGCTGTGAGGGGCCACAGAAACCAGCCCAGTTAAGGGAAGTTAAGTTAAGCCCATGTGGAAGCAGGAGGGCTGTGGCTCAGCTTTCACACAGTTCATGGATCCATATTTAAACCCACAATATGTTCATGTTGTCACAGCAGTTCCAAAAGCTGTCGTGTCAGCTGAACAAGGGTCAGGCTGCAGCCCTTTGGGGCAGACAGCGTCCAGATTTTCAAGGAATAATCACAGAATCACTGAATCATTTAGGTTTGAAAAGACCTCCAAGATGATCTAGTCCAACCTTTGACCAATCCCCACCTTGTCACCCAGCCCAGAGCACTGAGTGCCATGTCCAGTCGTTTCTTGAACACCTCTGGGGATGGTGACTCCACCATCTCCCTGACCACCCTTTCCAGGAAGAAATTTCTCCTGATGTCCAACCTGGCACAGCTTGAGGCTGCGTGCTCTTGTCCTGTCACCTGTAACCTGGGAGAAGAGGCTGACCCGCACCTAAACCCTATATTACATATTCCTAAACCCATATTTCTACCCCAAGTGGGCTCCAAGGTTTCTGTTTACTCTCTGACTGACTTGCAGCTCTCCCTGGACTTTGCCCTTGCAGAGGGAATGCAAAGTTATCTTGTGCTGCCTGAAGACGATAAGCTCAGCCCTCTGGCTCTTTGGCTGTGGGCAAGGCTCGGCACAGGGACGTTGTTTTGGGGAACTGAGGAGTGTGCAGTGTCTGAAATGAAGGATGTTGGTGTATGGGACAAGCCGTGTGCATCACTGTGGGTGCTTGGTGTTGCAGCTGTGGCCAAATCATGCTGTAGCTCCAGTGTGCAGCCCTTCTGTCCTTGTCACACGCCGGGGACAGTCGCTGGAGACAGCCAGTGACCCGGTGAGCGGTCCTGTGGTGGGTCTGCAGAGCTGGAAGCTGCATTGTGTTCGGGGAAGCTGTGGTGGGAATGCTGTCCAGAATTGAGTAGTCAGTGCTGTGGAGCTGGTGGAAATGGCTTTGCTTGGGATGGCAGCCCCCCCAGGGAGCATAACCCCCGTCCTCTCACTGCAGTAGCCTGACGGTCTCTTGGAGAGTAACTGTGGAACAGAAGGAATCTGGGTTGATCCACCCTTCACCAAAGAGGGAGAGGGGTGGGTCTAGGAAAGCCAGGTGCCTGAAAGCCTTGGTGCTCAGCTGCATCAGGAGGCACCCAGGGAAGCAACGTGTGAGAGGAGAGGTGAGACATGGCACGAGTGGTGGGATTGGGGTGGGGTTTCCCTTAAACCATAGGAAAGCTCCATAGGAATTTTGCCCCAATATCAGTGGGGTTTTCTGAAGGAATTAGGGTAAATATGTGTTTTCTTTCAGCCCAGTATGTCTCTAAACCATGACTTCTGCCCAGGCCTGTGCTGTGGTACTCATGGGAACATGGATGTGGGTATGTGGGAGCAGCACAGCTATGATGAAATGAGTCCCATGCTCCCTTTGCACTTCCTCCATCAGCAGGTTTAGAACAATAAACTCCTTGTCGAGTCTTACTGTATTTTAGAGCAAACAAACCTTGTACCATGTTCCCTCTTGGGCTTGGGAAGTCTTGGAGCAGGAGCCTTTCTGCTTTATTTGGAGCTTTTCAGTCCCTTTCCTCAGAAAAGCCAGAGGACGACAGACATTGCATGGGAATGTTTCACTTCCAGAGGAACCCATTCCTGAGAAGCACAGGGTGCAGTAAATTCCAGTAATTTCTGTGGTACTGGAAGCTGCTGCCCTTTAGGGGCCAGCTAGAGATTCCCACCATCCCCATGTGCTTCCATGCCTTCCGGCATGATAGGTCCTCGACCAGGCCTTGGATGCTTCTCCTGGAGGTCCAGCCCATCCCTTGGCAGCAGGGGTCTAATGGACATGGTCTCTCCAGCTGCCTGGTCATATTTCTGGCACCGCCCAAAGCTGGAGCTGAAAACAGAACAGACACTGGGAAATATCTGTGCCTGGCTGGTGGAAAACACAGCAGTGCTGTGATGGTGCCTGGTCACTGGAGCTGCCCCAGGAGCGTTCCCCTGTGGTGGCGGGATCAGAAGGACGTGCTGAACAGCTTCTCTGCTCTAGATCTTACCAGTGCTCAGGAGCGCCGGGGCTTTGATGCCGTGCCAGGCGCTCAGCCCGGTGCCGGCAGACTCCAGACTCGCTCTGACTCATCTCCTCCCGCCCCGTGTCTGCAGGTGCCGGTACCTGGCTGTCCAGCTGTCCCCGGCCATCCCCGTGTTTGCAGCAGTTCTCTTCCTGTTTGCCATGGCCACGCTGCTGCGGACGAGCTTCAGCGACCCCGGGGTGATCCCCAGGGCCCTGCCTGACGAGGCAGCCTTCATCGAGATGGAGATTGGTGAGCGTGGGGCGGCCAGCCTGGGGAGGGCTGGAAAAGCCTCTGTATTTCTGGCGTATTTTTAGGCTGCAATCCCTGCAGAGCCTTTTTTCCTGGCTGGACCTCCAAAAGTGAGGAGTGCCCCGATCTGCTGGCCCATTGTGCTTGGCCAAGTCTCAAAAAGGGGGCATGATGTACCTGCATCTCTCTCTGGGAACCCTTTTACCTGCTGCTTTCTCTCCCGTAGCCATGTACATACAAAGTTTGCTTTTGGGAAGGGGTGCAGGAAGCTTGGTGTGGTCCCCTTGATCCCTCAGGGAGAGAGGAGTTTTGATGGACGCAGGTGACAGCCCCTAGCCTCCTCTCAACGTGCCCATGAAAGCTCTGGCATCCCTTTTCCTGCCTCCAAGCTGCCAGGTTGGCTCTGGCCCGCATGAGCAGAGCTGCAGCCGCCGGCTCTGGAGCCAACAGGCTCTGGTCCCGCTGGTAGGAAAGGCGGGGAAATGAGTCGTCGTTCTGGGCCTGTCGTGTTGTAGCAGCAGGTCCGATCTGTGCCCTGCTCTCTCTGGCAGAGGCCACCAACGGGACCGTGCCGCAGGGCCAGCGCCCGCCCCCGCGCATCAAGAACTTCCAGATCAACAACCAGATCGTGAAGCTCAAGTACTGCTACACATGTAAGATCTTCCGCCCGCCCCGTGCCTCGCACTGCAGCATCTGCGACAACTGCGTGGGTGAGTGCAGGGCTGGGCCTGCTCCTGCCCTCAGCTCCTGTGGTGGGGGGGAACCTTGGAGAAAGAGGGAGACCTGTGCCTCATGCTGGGTGGGTCTGGAGTGGTGGTGTGTCCACACAGGGACAGGCTGCCCTGTCTTATGCTGAAGGAGCTTGATGTTTGCTCAGAACCTGGAGCCACGTGGTTCCTCTTTGCCAGGACCTTGGCAATAACTAGCCTAACCAAGTCCAACTTCTCCGTGTGTGTGTGCAGCCTGTTTTTCTGTTCCACTGGACTCTGGCCTTGCTGGAGGGTTCTGGTGGAGAGTTGTGTCTTGGATGACAGCAGCTCCTTCATCAACATGGGGACTGTGCCATCCTATGGGGTGCCCTGGTTGTTATCCTCCTGTGTATATAATTGGCTCATGTTCAGCATTGCTGCTCCAGGTAGAAATCCCGTTCCTCCTCTTCAGATTCCTGACCTTTGTGTGTTTATGCATTTCCATGAACCCTCTCCTGATTATTCTAGTAGGTATAGAGTGGGTTGGGTAACAACCTGGGGACTCCCAGGCCTTCATCTAACCCAAGTGCTGTGGCTGTTGTACCCTAAGGAGAGAAGACACACAAGGGGCCAAGTTCAAACTCTCTCTTAATGCGCAAAATGACTCATTATGAAGCAATTTTGGACTTTCTGACCTGGCCTCCCCTCCTGGAAGGGGGCTGGGATACAGAGTCCTGAGTGAGCAGAGGGTTGGACTTAGGAGTCCTTATCAGCCTGGGAGATTTTTGAGGTGGGGGCACAGGAGCAAGGATCCGGAGGTGGGCAGGGCCGTGTTGGAGGGTGCTGATCTCCATCTTGGCTTCCCCAGAGCGCTTCGACCATCACTGTCCCTGGGTGGGCAACTGTGTGGGGAAGAGGAACTACCGCTACTTCTACCTCTTCATCCTCTCGCTCTCCCTCCTCACCATCTACATCTTCACCTTCAACATCGTCTACGTAGCACTGAGTGAGTCTGGGTGGAGGGCTGGGAAGGAGGGAGGGAGTAAGGGTACAGATAGCGGTGGGAAACCAGAGTGATGGAGTGGGAAAGGGAATTTGATGGGATGTTCCAGAGTAAAAAATATCTCTGGCTTTTTGTATCACAGAATCTCTGAAGATTGGATTTCTGAACACGTTGAAGGAAACCCCAGGGACATATCCTTCCACCGTGCCTCTTCTCCAAAGCTGGGGGTTAGTGGGAGCTGCATTATGGACGGGCTGCCCAGGCCACTCTAACATGGATCTCTGGGCATTTTTCCCCCGATGATGAGGTGGGGAGCAGTTTTGTGGCTTTTGGGAGGAGGCTAAAACAGAAAACCATGGTTAGGAGAGGAAGAGAAGTTGGTGTGCTTGAGGGTCGTGATAGGTGGGCTGGGCCCGCTCCCCGGCTGTTCCCAGTCCTTAACTGTTCTCACTGTACTGGAGGTGCTCATCTGTTTCTTCACGCTGTGGTCGGTGGTGGGGTTAACTGGGTTCCACACCTTCCTGGTGGCACTGAATCAGACAACCAATGAAGATGTAAGTAGACTCTTCCTCTTCCTCTGAGCTGTTGCCGTTTCTTGGTGCATCACAGCTGTGCCCACTCTGCAGGCCAAGGCAGGGCTCTGGGGGAGGGTTTCCCTGGAGCAGACCTGACCTTGTGCCTGGCTGTTTCAGATTAAGGGGTCCTGGACTGGGAAGAACCGTGTGCAGAATCCCTACAGCCACGGCAACATAGTGAAGAACTGCTGTGAGGTGCTTTGTGGGCCCCTGCCTCCCAGGTAAGCTGTTGAGGGGCAGCCCTGACCTTTGCCTTCCACCAGCACTTCTCCTGCTGGGAAAAGAGATGGGATCTGGGGAGGCATGTGTCTCTGATGGCGTGGCTCTGTTCTTGCAGTGTCCTGGACAGACGGGGCATCCTGCAGCAGGAGGAGAGCACAGCTCAGGAGGGGCCGTGCCCGCGGGGGCCCGGCACGCAGGAGCCCCCGGCCACGCAGGGCCCCAGGCAGGCTGAGGAGAGCAGCATGAAGCAGCAGGATGGCAGCATTCCTCTCCCTAGCGCCGTGAGTAATCCCCTTGGGAGCTGGGGGGGCTCTTGGGCAGTGAGGGAAAGCTGAGAGTGACGTAGGAAGGATGGAACAACACGGGGGGGGCCGTGCTGAGAGGCTGCCGGTGAAAAGCCCGTTTGCTCTGACACTGGAAACCAGGGCCTCTTGGTTTCCTGGGTTTCCTCAAAGGAGATCACAGCTGGCTGGGGTTTTGGAGATCAGTCCTGCCGTGAGAGCACTCAGGAGCTGTCACCCATGGAGCTGGGAGGGGCTGGGGAAGGATGGGATGTTGCCTGCATCTTGTTCTGGTGCTGCATGTGAGCTACAGGGCTCTCCCTGGGAAGGGTCCTCACGGGTGTGGGATCTCTGTCTTTGGAGAGCAGCCTGCTCTGTGTTTGAAATTAGCCCTGCTTTAAGGACACGGTTGGACAGGAGACCTCCAGAGTGCCCTTCCCACCTAAATTATTCCTTGAACATGGTGGGAAATGTCTGGGCCTGCTCGTGCTTGGGCACGATCTGCTGCTTCTCTGGTGGATACAGTCCAGACCACTTCTGCTGGAGCAGTCCAGTGCTCCAGCTCTTCCCGAAGCTTTTGTTGTTTTTGTTGGGGGGCCCCTGGTTTCTCCTTTTCCCAAGCCCAGCCGAGACTGCTGCTGGTGGAGCTGGAGGCAGGAGCGGAGCCGTGGGGCCTGTGTGCTCAAACAGGTGCTCTGTACTGGGGTGTGACCCTGCAGGTCACTCTGTCCTCTCTCCCCAGGTCCCTGTGCTGTCCCCGAGTGACACCGAGATGCCGGAGGAGAAGCAGCGAACGCCTGGGGAGGTCCCGGTGCCCTCCCCGGACGCTGGGCGAGCGGAGCACTAGCGTCTGCTTGGAAGGGAGAACTTTCTTGTTTTGTCTAATCAAAGCTGGAAGTGATGGAGGAGAGGAGGAGGAGGGCTGGATGGCAGGCACCCGATTCCCCATGGCCATTTTGCTTTAGTCATTACTCACCACCGTGTGGGCCGGCGGTGGCACGGGACAGCGAGTGTGAGTGGCACCCCCTGGTCACCACGGGGCGCTGCCACTGCCGAGGCAGGTCTGCCTGCGGCCAGGGCTGGGCCTCTGGCTCTGCGGGCTGTCCTGGATGCTCCATCCTGGCTCAAGGCCAGGGCTGTCCCTCTACCTGGCCCCGGCTCTGACGGGGCAACTCGCGGTCCAGCAGCTCAGCAGTCAGGGCCGGCCTGCTCCCTCCTGCTGAGGAATCCCCATGGGAAGGGGAAAGCAATCATGGCAGTAGCGTCCTCCCTCCCCTCCTCCCTCCTTCCTCTAATCCGTGACGTTGTTTTGTGGTTGGCGTGGCAAGGCTTGTCAGGAGACGTTGTGGTGCCCAGAGGACCCAAACAAGCGGGAAGGAGTTCTGCTGGCAGCGGTTTTTAAGTAGCTTTCTTCCTGTGCTCCTTTTCACGTGACATAGCCGGGGCAGCAGCTGTGATGGGGACCCTCCTCACCCTGCCCTGGGGCTCACACAGACCCGGGGGCTCAAGGGAAGGAGCGGGCAGTCCCCCTGACCCACACCAGCCACGGAGTGGTTGTGCCAGGGTGTACTGAGCTGCAGGGAAGGGTCTGCCTGTGCCACTGGCTCCCTGGCTGGTGCTGGGGCTGCGTTTGCTGCTGGGTGTCTGCACTGAGCCTTCCCCTTGCTGTGGCACTGCCACTCTGCAGAACCTCAGCCCCGACTCTGTGTTGTGTCCTTGTGTTCCGGTGTCCCCCATCTGCCTTGCTCTGCAGTTCTCAGCCATCCCAGACTGGCTGTGCTGGCTGCCCGAGGATGGGCTGTGTGGTGTCTCACCCGTGTGTCCTCAGCAGAGTCGGGAGGAGAGGCTGGGGGGTATGGTGGGAGAGCTCCATGTCGTTGCAGGGCTCCTCCTCCCTTACCCCACTCCCTGTCCTGCGCTGGCAGGACCCTCACGCCTGCGGGGTCCCCGCAGAGGCCCGCGGTGGGGAGAGGCCATTCCGTGCCCTGGCAGCTCCCCATCCCACACCATGAGTGCTGGGCACTCCCGTGCCTCCTGCAAGTGTGCAGTGGGTGGTGGCAGGTTGGGGGTGTCCTGCCTGGCCAGTCCTGTGTGTGTCTCCATGATGCTCCTGCCTGGCAGCGGGAAGTCGCTGTTGCTCCGCCCCTGGCCTCATGCCATCCTGCTTTCAGCAGTGTGGAGCAGCCCGCTCCCTCCGGAGCCTGGCCTGTGCCTCCCACCTCGCTCCTCTTCCCTGGGCCCTCGCAGCGTGGCCCTGGGCTGTGGCTGGCAGCGGGTGATGGTGTTGACATGGTGTTAACGTGGCACCGGCGCTGCCCCCTCTCCTGCGGTGCCGAGGTCTCCTCTCCCGGTGAGAGGGCAGAGCTGCTGCTCTGGCTGTGGCCGTGGGTCTGCGGTGGCCCTGCAGCTGCTCCCGGCCTCCCTGCCACGGCCCTGTAGCCAGCCCGGTCCCATCTCGTCCCCGCAGGACAGGGGTCCTGCTCCTGGCCCCGAGCACCCCGCCGGCCGTGGGAGCCGCCCCAACATGCTACTGACCAAATCTCAAATTCAGTGTGAAAAAGTGTATTTTTTGGCTCTGCTGCTCCCCGTTCCATGCAGTGTGGGGAGTGCTGCCTGCCAGGACTGCCGTGCCAGTGAGGCCTGCCTGCGCTGGTCGGGGTCTCCAGAAGGAAGGGGAGGTCGGGCAAGGGTTGGGGGTTCTTTATTTTTTTTCTTCTTATTTTTTTTTTAATTTTAAAACAATGAAGGAAACTTAATTGGTTTGAAAATGGCTGAGCTGTAGCCCCTGCGTGTCTGTGCTGCCCCAAGCCAGCTGCCTCTTCCCCCTTCCCTGTGCCTTTCCAGCCTCTCCATCTCACACTTCCAGGGTGTCTTAGCTGCATTATTTGCATCCTGCTGCCCCCCATGGCGAGTGAGGGGGGAGTCTCTGTGTGCCCATGCTGAGCAGTGACAGTGAAGGCTTCATTTGCCTGCAGGCATGGCTCCCGTCCCCAGGTCCCTCCAGCCTCCTGGCAAATCCAGGAGCAGCAGCCCATGCCTGGAGCACGGTGCCCTGGGGTGCCCAGAGCCCCCACATCGGGGCAGCAGTGCCAGGCAGCACCATGCAAAATGTCCTGGGGGTACAGCACCTGCCTGTGGTGCTGGGGCCGAGCTGGGCCCTGAGGTCACACCGCTGGGGCTCCTCTGTCCCCTGCCAGCAGCTGTCCCCTCTGGTCTGTCCCCACTGCCATGGCCAGAGCGGGAAGCAGCGGTGCCAGTGGGCTCAGGGGGACTGTGCCATGGAGAGAGCCCCCAGCTGCTCCTCAGGACCCCCCAGCTCGGCCTCCTCCCGGCTGCCATCCAGGGTCTCTGATCCCTCGAAGCAGCCTGAGTCCCGGGGAATGTCCCCTTTGGGCTCCGAGGGTGATGGCAGTGCTTCAGAGCTGTCACCATCCTCCGGCTCACTGGCTGCTGGGAGAAGGACCGAGGCATTAGTGGTGCTGCTGGGGTGCCCAGCTGGAGGAGCTGTGGGTGGTGGTGGGGGTCTCCCACTCCCTCCCCGGTGCTCTTACTGTCGTAGTCCAGGAGGAGCTCAGCGGCCGTCAGCAGCTTGGCGCGGTGCTGGGGGTCTGTGATGTGCAGCTCGTTCAGGTGGGTCTCCTTCAGCTCCTTGAAGTCCTCCAGGGTCTGGTACCCATTCAGCAGGAGGGTGGGGATGTGTTCCTGGGTGGGGGATGGTGGGCAGGGATGAGCAGGGCTCGGGGGACTCCCCTGGCCCCCGGTGCGGGTCCGTGGTGGGCACTTGCCCCCACATCACACAGAAATGCCCCATGTGTCCCCTCTGTGCCCCTGGAGTACTCAGTGGAGGGACCCACAGGGATGGGGGATAGTGAAGGGGAGCAGAGAGGGGGTGGTCCCACTGCTGGCGCCCTGGGCACGTGCTGGGTGCCACTTCCCCATGGCCCCCGTCCCTCACCTGCAGGTTGATGCGCTCCAGCAGCTCATGGAGGGTCTTGGGCTTGAGGCGCTTGTTCCGGCTGGAGCCTCGGCTCCTGCGGGCAGGGACTGTCTCCTCAGGGATCACATCCACATAGATGAACTTGAAGGAGCCCACCCTGTTGTTGAGCAGCCCAGTCCAGGTGCCCACAGGCGGCTTCTCGATGATGCCAATGATGTCCCCTTTCTGGGCCAAAGGAGATGGGGTGGCAGTGGGTGCAGGCTTGGGGACAGCTGGGGAACACCTCTGCCTCAGGAGGGTCCCCAGCCACCGTCCCTCCCTCCCCAGGGCCGCGGTGGCTGTGGCTCACCCGCAGCTTCAGTGAGTCCTTGTCGTAGGGGCTGGGGGTGAAGTCGGTGTGGACGCGGGCCCGGCCGCAGAAGGGGCCGGTGTAGGCTGGGACACTCTCCTCCAGCTGCAGGCTGTCCCGGGGACCACCAGGGCTGGGAATGTCGCTGCCTGCAGAGAAGAAGGGGGTCAGGATGTGCTCTGCTGGGGGCTCAGACCGGTGTGCTGCCGGGGCTGGGCTCACCGCTGGACATCTGGCGGCTGAGGGGTGGGCGCCCGTCCTCCTCCTCCTCCAGCTCCAGGTACGACAGGGGCACCTTGTCGTGGCTCCACTCCTCTGTGCTGCCCTCTGGGGACAGCGGGCACGGGGACCCCTCCTCCTCCACTTCTCCCTGCTGTGGGGACCGGGGTCAGGCTGGGGGAGGGGGAGCAGCCCCCCACTCACCTGCCCATGTCCCCCATGCCCCCCGCTCACCTTCCCCTCGGTCAGTGCCTTCACGGCCATCCTGCCCATCTTGCGGTTCATGGTGCGGGAGATGACCGCCCGCCACTTCCTGCCCAGCTTCGTCCCACTGCTCCGCGGGGCATCCTCAGGGCTGGCACTGCTGGGATCATTCTCAGGGATCTGCCGGAGGGATGGAGAGTGAAGGCAGAGCCCCTCACCCCAGGCAAGCCTCAGCGGGGTCACACAGGGCCGCGAGACCCCAAATCCCACACGTGCTGGAACATGGGCTGCTCCATGGCATGTGGGCCCCTGGTAGGACCAGGAGTTTGGGGAAACCAGCTCTGAAATAGGCTGGGAAGGGGATCCCAGGGGAGCAGGGCACGTCAAGGGGTGCTGCTGCCCTGGGGAGGCTGGGAACTCACGTTCTCCTCCAGGTTGAACTCCTTCTCGCTCGGCACGGGGGAGCTGACCTTGGACTTGGCAAAGTCCTTGAAGCTGCTGGAGCGCTGGAGGGAAAGCTGGGGGCAGGGGGAGGGGTGTGAGGGGGGAGATGGAAAGGTGTGAGGGCTTCTCTCTGCACCCCCTGCCCCAGCTCCCCTCCTCCCTCGGGGCTGCTCTGCCCTTCCCAGGGCGATGCCAGAGATGGAAGTGTTTTTTGGCTGGCACAGTCTCCCCTGTCTCACCCCACTCCAGGAGCTGCCATGTGCTATGAGCCCGCCAGACCAGGGATGCAGAGCCCTGGTATTGCTCTTGATGCCTGTGCAGCTGCTTGGCACAGCATTCCTGGGGCAGGGATGCTCCAGTGTGGAGTCTGGCACTGCCAAGCTGGGAGCAGCCCAGGGCTGTGCCACGCTGCTGTCCTGGCACATGGGCTAGGCACGTCTTGGGGGAACACAGGGCTCTGCAGCACCCACAAGTGGGCAGGCAGTGAAGGGCTGGGAACATGAGAGCAGCCACGTCCCAGCTTCTGCCTCCGTGGTCAACTCCAGGACTGAAAGTTTCCCGTGTTTTCTGACTGTGAGTGCCCCCCACAGCCCAGAGAGCACCCTCAGCTGGCTCAGTGCCATCTTCGCTCCAAAGCCATCGAGGCAGGTTGTGAATCTCAGTCCTGCTGCACCCCTCTGTCCCTGCTCCTTCCAGTCTTCCCTGTGCCCCCTGCCTGCCTCCATCTCCATGTCCTGTCTGGTGCCTGCCCCATATGGGAAGGGTTTCTCCATGACAGGAGCCCTTGGTGCCAGCCAGCCAGCATCTCCCAGCACAGCCACACGGTCCCGGGTCTCCCTCATCCCTGGATGCCAGGACTCCATGGGAGCCGGCTCGCATGTTCGGGCCAGGTGAGCTCGGCTCCCACTGCCGGCAGCTCAGAGCAGGCACCGCAGCGCTCACTCTGCCACCACCACAAACAGCGATTTCCGTTCTCAAGCAGCTCTGCCGGCTCCGAGCTCCTTCCGAGGCCCTTCCTGCCCCTGCTCAGCCTGTCCCGTCTTTATTCTCCTCCTCCTCGGCTCCACCGAGTATCCTTCAGCACTTGTTTTCGGCGTTCCTTGCAGAGGGCTGGCTCGGAGTGGGACACCCAGAGCACCCCCGCTGGGGCTTTACAGGGCAGGGCCAGCTCCAGGTGCATCTCCACTCCTGCCCCAGCACCCCGAACCCGCCAGATCCAGGAGTGTTGAACCTCCAGGAGCTCTCCCTTCAGAGATAAAACAGCTCTGAAGCCAGGAAAGCTGCTGGCCCAGCGCTGGAGAAGCCCTGGAGAGCCTGGCAGCGGGATGTGAGCCAGGGAGGCCGAGCTCTCCCAGAGCACAGCAATGAGAGGGAAGTGAGAGTGGCTGTGGCTGGGCAAGGGCAGGGGATGCCCACTGGGACCTGCCGGGCTGGATGGGCTCTCCCGGTGCAGCCAGGGGGACTTCACCCAGGTTTCCCGCGGGAGCTTCCCAGCATGGATGAGCTGCCATGGTGGGATGTGTGCCTGCCGTGGGCAGGGCCCTGGCACCAGGCACTGCCCTGCTCCCCACGGTGACCTGCCGATGCTGATGCCAGCCCAGCAGGGCTTGGCAAGAGCTGAAGTGCCAGCTGGTGTGAGACCTGGTGCAGGGGGATGACTGTGGCCCCCACCGGTGACTCCAGCCTCCAGACAGGTTGTCAGGGGGTGGCACACGGCCATGCCACGCTGGGGGCTCTCAGGGGGCCGCGGTGCTGGCAGCTGGTGCTGCTGTGGCTCCCACCTCAGAGCGGTGCTGCCAGAGGAAGCGGCCGACACGTGACAGAGCTGCAGCCTCGACCGCAGCACCTTGCCGGGCTGGGAGCTGCACACCCGGCACCGCCGCGGCCCCCCAGGAAATGGCAGGCGGCCGCCCACGCCGTGGGGAGGCCACGGAGAGCGGGGGCCACAGCCCCCCCCAGCAGAGCCCCACGGGTCCCACCGGCACCCCAGCAGGCACCCATGCTGATCCCGGGGACTGCGCATCCCAGCCACCCATCCCACCAGGATGCAAGGCAGGGTGGGAGCTGGGCAATGCCAGGACTACGCGCTGGCGAGGCCACAGTGGCTGGTGGCAGCAGGGACAGACGGATGGCAGTGCCGCTCCCACGCTGTCGCAACCCCCTGGGGCTCTGCCGAGCTCCCTGGCACCAGCCCTCCTGCTCAGCATCCCATGGCAGCCCAGGCTCGGACAACTCTGGGTGTGCAGCGATACCCGTGTGTGCTGAGGGTACCTGGATGCTGCCAGCACTCACCTTCCTGTGTCCCGGCTCCTTCTCCCCGGCGTTGGAGGGCTTGCGGCGCAGCATGGCACTGGGGCCAGAGGGCACAGCGCTCGGCAGCACCTCGGCACGTCCCGTCCCGCGGCACCGGCACCGAGCCGGGAGCGCACAGGAAGCCGGCGGTCACATGAGAGGCGCTTGCAGCCGTGCTTGGGGCGGCTGCCGGGGCGCGGGCTAGGGCAGGAGGAAGGAAACTCTCCACGGAACTGCTGCCCTGCCCGGGGCCCCCGGCGTGGGGATGGTGCCTGCGCCCTGGCACCCTTCGGCCATCGTGCTGCCCCCCCGGTGGTGTTGCC